AAGGCGACCTGAGCCAAATTATTTCTTTCCTTCATGATTCTTTTTGTTTAGGTCTAGCTTTTTCATAAGGTTTTAGTAGCGTCTGGTTGTGGGTCGTGATTTCCGATAGATTTTTCTATTCGGAGTTCGCCAGTTTTGCCGAGTACAGCTAGAGTTCAGTTATTTTGTTTTCTTATCGAAAACACCTTGACGATGGGAGGTTAAATCGCGTAAATTTCAACTCGTACCCTTGACGATTGGCGGTGAAATCGCGAAAATATTGTCCTCGTCGATCGACGACTCGCTTTCGGCATGGATTGGACTTCTGGATGGGACACGGATCAGGACCTTAGTAAACTTATTATACCTTGGAATCAGGGAAAATCATTGGAACTATGTTAACTTTGAGACCTTGGAAACACATTGCAATTAATTTTTAACCGTATCAAGACCATATTGGAATATGAAACTTTCATCTTGGATTAAAACATTGGAACTTTATCGAACTTTGTAACCCTGGGTTCGACCCTGGATAAAGCAAGCGGATGTTTTGTTTTGTTTTGTTCCATTAACCTAAAACTACAATGTTCATTTCTCTTTGAAAAGTTACCTGTGGCTAACACCGCGGCAAAACGCAATGCGCATGAGCACAAAATTTAATATCCGGTCAGCTTTTTATTTCCGGTCTAGTATATAAACCAATAGCGTAAGCATAACTTTGCCGTCGCGCCAAGTTTAAAAGCAAAAAGGGCGAAACAGACAAAAAAGGGGGCCAAAAAAACCACTTCATTCGAAAGCTTATATATTTTTCTATTCTCAAACTTTTGCACCACATGGTTATCTGTTTGCACCAACGGTGAAAATCATGTTTGAAGTGTGCAGGTCGCGAGCGCTCGACATGACGAAGTTGCCATTTACTGGCTTTCTTGCATCCTACTGGTTTGGCATAAGTTAATTTGGGAGAAGGCGATAACTAAGAAAAGAATAACAATACTTATGAAAGAAACCAAAAAAAGCCGTCATCATTATCATTAACACTAGAACCAGAAATAAAATTTTAGTCCGTTCAACAATTTTTTTATTATCAGGCAAAACAAGAACTCAAAACAAAAGATGTGCGGAATTTAATAACAACCTCGACTTTGATGACTGCAGTCGCGAACACCCGGAGCTTTCAGTGCCGGGAAACTAAACATGCCTATAAATGACTTTCATTCAAGAAAATGCCTATTTAATTCTTTTACATGGTTGTTCTTTGGTTGATAACTTCAATAATTTCAGACTGTGCGGCTCGGCTGTATCTCATGCAAACACGAAACTTCCAGCTGCTAAATACATGGCATGAAAAGTTCGACTTCTAAAAGCCCGGCCATCATACCAGCTTTCGCTCTCTGATTCTGAGAATGAAAAAAAATAAATAGAGTGGTCAACTTGCTGCCATCCTCAACAGTATAATTAAGTTTATGTTTCACGGCAATCAACTCAGAAGAGTTTCGTTTCAAAACACGGTAAAACTCACTGGTAAATAAAACTACAAATCGATTGTGTGTTGTCGTTTTCCAAATAAAGCTCGAATCGGCTTTAAGACAGGAAGACTGAGAAATTGAAGAACTGAAAATTAGAACTGCAATACACAAGCTTGCGATGATAACTTTTTATGTCTTAGTTTCAGCCGGGTTAAGTGAAAAATAACAGTCAAAAACTTTGTTTTCGTGAATGAAAATCAGTTTACCTGACGCTCTAGCCAAAATTACAGTTATTATCATCTTACCTTTTCTGAATCTAATCGACTAATTGTTTCAGTGATCTGTGCCTGGTTATCCATAAAAGCAATTTCAATAAATACAAAATAGTCAAAAACACGGGCAGCATGAAGCAGAACAACTGAACCACAAGCTGCACACAGAACGAAGCCGAGCGCGCGCGGGAGACTTTGATCTGACTTGAAAGTGTGACTGAAAAAGAGACCGGAAATGCTCAACCTGGCGCATGCGTAGACGTTTTGCCGCGGTGTTCCTGTGGCCACTTATACTACCAAGATATGACGTATCTTTATACATATAGTTCCTGTTCAGGTTAATCAGAGAGCATTATGCGCATGTTCTCCATTACTTGTTTCCGTTAACATTCCAATTTAAGTTACACGGGTAAACCTTGTTTTGATGCAAAATAACTTCTTTTTCTTATCCAAATCGTGCTATGAAAATAACTACATAGCGATAGATCAAAACAAGATCAACTCCATCCTTGCGACCAGTGACAACTATAAATTTAGCTTGCGTAGCAGGTGTCGAAAGGGGTAGGGGATAGGGAGGAAGCAAAAAGGGGATGTGGATTAGGGAGAAATAGTAGCCTGTCACGAAGGTTACTATAAATTCAGTCATAAGCACATTAAAAAAACCCATATAGGTAACCTACTCATCGATGCTCATAACACATCTTTCCGGTTTCCCTAATTTTTCCAAATTCAGATAGAACGCCATTATGCTTCCATAGACCAACGCATCCCACGGAAACGACTTTAGACGTCTTGTTTCACGATTATTTCCCTTTAATGTCTTAACACTTTTTGTATCAAGAGCACAATAAAGATTGTTGTTGTTGTTGTTGTTGCCGTAAGGATCAGTTTGCCGTTTCATATTCTTCTACAAACGTCATGAAATATCAAATGTTAAGATACATGATGTTTGTATCACATTGCGGGCAGCAGAGAATGAAAGTCTCTGCTAGCAGTTTGGATTTGTATAGGCCATAATTCAAAAGGTGAACTAAATTAAAATGCAGAGAAACCTCTATTAAGCGGCTCTTCTCAAAAGAGAGAAGTGTGACATCAAGTGACCATGGTAGCAAAATTTCTGGATCTTGACAGAAACGGCCATTTGCGTTTTCGAACGATGGAATTAAAGTATGGGCTACCGTTTTACTTCCGAGTGCAATCATCACAGGAAAGACTGCGTTAATGTCAATATCTTTCCGGTTTCTTATTTTTGCCATATTTGCAGGTCCTTGATTTGTTGAGTTCCAGAAATTTTGCTACCATAGCAACGTAACGTAACGTAACGACTTCTTTCTCTATTAAGATGGGAACCTGTCTTCCCCTCGGCCGTTTGCCTCGCTCGCTCGCTCGCTCGCTCGCTCGCACCTAACATGCTCCCCTCGCTCGACACTTCTTAGGAAACTCCTAACACTATATATTCACATTAAATGCTAAATTTAAGAACACCTTTATAGAATGGTCATCAAGAGAGGATAAAGCTTTGTGGTCAACCTCCATTACGCTAGCCTCTCACGCAGACATTTTTTGAGACTACATTTTCTAGCTCAGAAGGAGATCGGACACCTCATGAACCATACACACTGAGAAAGCCTTATCTTAACAGCTTCTTTCCATTTTCCTCTCTTCCCCCTCTCACATTTCGAGCTACGACTGAATTAGATCAATGAGCATTAACATCGAGAGATTAAGAGTTAAAAAGCTCTAGGCAAGGTAAACGTATATTAAAGCGTGTTACTTCCTTTAGGTTTTAATTCAAAAAGGCTTTCACTATTCTTTCCCATAGGCTAACAGGTCAACAAACTCGTCTCTATAATTTTACGGAGAAGGAGGCTAAAAAAACGTACTTTGCGTAAATTTTTGTTGCCTATATTTTGCTCCACCCCTTTGTTTCATACAGTGACGAGGGCGCATAATCAGTCAATCAGTAAAGGGACGGGCCTTTGATGTAGGATTTTTAGTCTGATTTTTTCTTTCCCTTATGTTTTTACTAGACCCCAGGTCAAAATGGAGTATACACCAGAACAGTTAAATTATTTTAAAATATCCTACACTGCCTTCAACTTGGTACCCGAAGCACTTCGGAGAGTCTTCAAACAAGAGTGGAATTTCCTTTACATGACAACTTTTTTGGGGGAATGGAAAGACATTCCACAAAATGGCCACGATTTCTACAACAACGAAACAGGGAAAAGTCGCAAAAAGTATGCTCGATATTTAACGATGATTCAAAAGGGAAACACGGCGGAGTGGGACTGCAGTTGTCTATTTTTTGCCATATTGTTCTCGGATAGTATTGGGACCACTCTGAGTGCGACAATCAGAAAAGAGGTTGATATTCTGCGGCAGATTCGAAACGATATCGCTCACATAAACGAGGCTAAACTTTCTGATGCTGAATTCCAAAGTTATGTAGCAAGAGTGATAGCTGCATTTACATCTCTGAAGCTCTCAACTGTTGAAGTCGAGGATGTTAAAAACCAGAGCAGCTTTCCCACAGCGGAAGTAAATGGCTTGAAGATACAGACTGATAGACTAAAAGCTGATTTAAAAGTGAAAGATGAAGAAGTTAAAAATCTAAACTCAGAGTTACAATTGACGCAAAACACATTGCAGACCAAGCAGGAAGAAGTAGAAACCCTTACTCAAGAGATCCATTCCAAAGTTGAGTCTTTCTGTAGTCTTACATTCAGGCCATCGCACCAAATCATCAGACGTTCCAACGATGTCACAAGAATCAAGAACAAGCTGGAGGAACTTTATAATGAAAGCAAAGGGGCCATCAGCACCATTTATTTATCAGGAATTCCGGGCTGTGGTAAAAGTCAAATCGCTCGTCAAGTGTGGGACAGGAACTCTATGACAAAAGATTGCGTGAAGACGAAGGTCTAACATTTGTTTCAACTCTGAATGCAGAAACCCTTGACTCACTTGCCGACTCCTATTTCAATCTAGCTAAACAACTGGGAGTTACTGAATACGCTCTGACCAACCTAGCAACCTCCACGAAGGTTGACTCAAGTGAAACAATTCAGCATTTGATGCGTTTTATTTCTCCAAAGGTAAAACAGTTTTCTTCCTGGCTGATTATTTTGGATAATGTTGTTGATCTATCTCTGGTTCTAAGTTATCTGCCTCCGACCACCAGCGAAGAGTGGGGTCATGGTCAGATGCTAGTAACTACTCAAGATACCCAGTCAATACCCTCAATTCTCCTCATACTTACCATGAATCCCTCAGTAAAGGAATGCATCCAGATGACGCAGTAAACCTTTTAAGAGAAGTGTCTCAAATTTCGAATCAACAACAAGCTGAGGAGGTTGCAGGGGTTCTTGAGTATCAGCCACTTGCCTTAGCAGCTGCTGCAGTCTACGTTCAAACCATTGTCAGTTATGGTACCTCTAATTATGGTTGGACAAAATACCTGGAAACTTTCAACAGCAACGAACGGGAAGCAAGAGAGGATTTTTTTGCGAAGCAAAACAGAGCATATCCCAAAACAACGACTACTGCCATCAAAATGGCAATAACTCGAGCTTTGCAAAGCGACGAAGTTCTTCGTGAAGTATTATGTTTGTTTTCGTTGTGCGCATCTGATTCTCTACCAATTGAAGCTGCTGTTGACTTTGTAAAATTTCGTACAAAACAGCAAACAGAAGAGTTAACTAGAGCTAGAATTCTGAAATCCACCATGGTTTCTTACTTGTATGACAAAGACGGCACACCCACTTACGTCAGAGTACATAAAGTTGTTCATGAAGTGCTTAAGTCCACTGTAACATCAGTCCTGAATCGGACACATCAAGCGGAGTGCTTTTCTGTTGCTGTTAGGATTTTTCATTCACTGATGGAAGAAAACAGGAATCTTTTAATTGCTAGTGAGCAGGCTTGCGGAAAGTTGAGGATAATTGTCAGTCATTGTAAAGTGTTATTTCAGTTGAACAGAACTAAAATGGTTAATGAAGAACAATCAGTAGTTAATACGTTACTAGCGATAATTACTCCTAGCAATTTAGTTTCGTTTCTTTCCCTTATTACTGAAGTTTGTTACCGCCAAAGTAATTTATCGGATGCATACCTTTTCTCAACTTTATCCTCTGATTTCATAACGTATCTAAGTGACACTCAAGACGATAAATTGCAAAAGGCGAAGCATTTTCATGAATACGGCATTGTTCACTTGCAGCTTGGTCACTTCTGTCAGGCTAAAGAATACCATGAGAAGTCTCTTGCAATCAAAAACAGATACACGGTGAACACCATGGTGACATTGCAAAAGCTACAACAGCCTGGGAAATGTTTACAGAACCCTTGGTCAGTACAACCAGGCTAAAGAATACTATGAAAAGTCTCTTGCCATAAGAAAAGAGATTTATGGTGAACACCATGGTGACGTAGCCACAAATTACAACAATTTGGGAACTGTTTACAGTGACCTCGGTCAGTACATTCAGGCTAAAGAATACCATGAGAAGTCTCTTGCCATTAGCAAAGAGATTTGTGGTGATCATGAACACCATGGTGACGTAGCGACAAGTTACAACAACCTGGGACTTGTTTACAGTAACCTTGGTCAGTACAATCAGGCTAAAGAATACCATGAGAAGTCTCTTGCCATTAGCAAAGAGATTTATGGTGAACACCATGGTGACGTAGCGACAAGTTACAGCAACCTGGGACTTGTTTACAGTAACCTTGGTCAGTACAATCAGGCTAAAGAATACCATGAGAAGTCTCTTGCCATTAGAAAAGAGATCTATGATGAACACCATGGTGACGTAGCGATAAATTACAACAACCTGGGAAATGTTTACAATCACCTTGGTCAATACAATCAGGCTAAAGAATACCATGAGAAGTCTCTTGCCATTAGAAAAGAGATTTATGGTGAACACCATGGTGACGTAGCGGCAAGTTACAGCAACCTGGGACTTGTTTACAGTAACTTTGGTCAGTACAATCAGGCTAAAGAATACCATGAGAAGTCTCTTGCGATTATGAAAGAGATTTATGGTGAACACCATGGTGACGTAGCGAAAAATTACAACAATTTGGGACTTGTTTACGGTAACCTTGGTCTGTACAATCAGGCTAAAGAATACCATGAGAAGTCTCTTGCCATTAAAAAAGAGATTTATGGTGAACACCATGGTGACGTAGCGATAAGTTACAACAACCTGGGACTTGTTTACAGTAACCTTGGTCAGTACAATCAGGCTAAAGAATACCATGAGAAATCTCTTGCGATTATGAAAGAGATGTACGGTGAACACCATGGTTACGTAGCGACAAGTTACAACAACCTGGGAAATGTTTACAGTTACCTTGGTCAGTACAATCAGGCTAAAGAATACTATGAGAAGTCTCTTGCCATTGCAAAAGAGATTTGAATACGGTGAGGAGCATCCTGATGCCAAAAAAATTATAACAATTCAAGATTGGTTGAAAGCAAACAAAGAGAATTTAAAAACAAACTCGGAAAAATTGTTGCTTCACAGAAGAACAGCACCAATACACTGGGTAACTTCTACCAATTCCACCAGAACTAATAATTACAGGGTGTTTCAAAAGTTCGTTCCGATTTTTTATTCCCTTAAATTTCACTAATTATTAACAAAAAACCTTTTGTAAAACTTAGTATGTTATTCATTATTCATTTAACATTGAATAACTAAAATATTAGTAAACAGAATGTCTTCTTGTATGTTTTCTGACATTTTCTAAGCGATGAGGTATAGAATGTACGAGCTCCCAAAGCGTTTCCAAAGTCACATTCTTACAGGCGAAGCGTAGTCACTGTCTTAGCTCGTCCAGTGTTTTGGGGGCTGGATCTTTGTATGTTGTCTCGTGTACGTTAATCCAGATGGTCTCTAGGGGGTTCAAATCACGTGAGTTTGCCGGCCTTTCCTCCTTTGGTATAAAGTTGGCAAATCCTTCTGACACCATGCTTGCATGAAGTGTTCACCGCCTTTTGCTCTTCAAGGCTTTCCAACTTTTTCGGAAACTTATCCCCATACCGTCGATTGAAATGTTTTACCTTTCTGTGTTGTGGAATTATTACGCATATACTTACAGCTTTTTCGATAATATTTCTCACACAGTTTGTGAAAAAAACGGCCATCCACTCCTTGGTTTATCTTCTAAGGTCTTTACTTTTGACCACTTGTTCGGTCATCGTTCAGACTTCTTCAACAATTTGGCAATTTTTTTTTGGACTGAATGGCCAGAAGACCATAAAAATAGATGCCTGAGCTCTAGCACAAACAGTGCAGGCCTTCATTTTCATGAAGGAGTAGAGAAAATAAAAGAAAACGTTAAAAATATCAAAATAGAAAACCTACAAAATGAGCAGGAAAAGTATGGCGGGAAAAAACTTGCGTACGTGTACAGTTGGGGCAAAAATTTAAAAAACTATAATTTCTTCAAATTTTAGTTTGAAATTGCTTCGAGCGGGTATTTAGATAAATTTCTTACCTGAAACAGTGTACATTTGCCTAAAGAAGCATTAAATGCTTTACGCAAAATACAATTTACAATCGGAACGAACTTTCCAAACACCCTGTATACCTGACTTTGAGGTCTTTGCGATTCATTCACTCGTTTCTGCACTAGGCTCAGATGTTATTTTGTAAAACCAAGTGTTCAGCGATATCAAGTGCCTCCTCCAAATAAGCGTTCCCTTACCTCATATCACCACTCTTAACTGAATGTCCGATACTGGCAGTACGTATATCTTCCAATCAGTTCAGTGGCACATGTACCTCTCTAATAACACACTTTTTATGCACCCTGCTCTCCCAGCTCCCTCCCCTATTTTGCATATCTTTTGTTTGAATTTCCTTCGAGAATTTGTTGTACCAAGGGAAATTGAAGACAATGCTTATGCAAAATTTCTTGGGGCAAATCGAGGTGTATTGTGGAAGATATGCAAATAGGAAATGAATGTATTTTAAAAGATATACAACTGCTAAACAACTGCTAGAGAATATGCTTATTGAGGACATCAAAATGTGGAGCGTTGAAGAGGCGGCTCCTCTGACAATTCCCTGCACGTGATGTCACGGCGGCCATGTTGGAGGTGAAGAAAAAAAGCATTTCTCTCCTCTTGCCACTCTATTTTCAAGTAAATTCTTCAAGAAAAAATTGTTTTATAGTGACCTTCAACATGGCCACCTTGTCACGTGGTTGCAAACCAAGAATAGTGCTTAAAAACGATAGCACTAGAACTTACTAACGACAGGAGGTTAAAAGACAAGTCTCTCTACCAAAGACGCACAAATTTGGGTTTCTACTAAATAGTACGTTTCATACTCACTTGTTAAATGTCACTTTTTTCTTTCATTTAAAAAAAAAATCTTGGAGATTGACTCTGTCGTCGAGACTCGATAAGGAGCTCCTGGCTTTAAAAAAGTATGTAAAAAAAATATGGGCTTTGAAAAAGCACCATTGTCAAGAATCGAGTTTCTTCTATTGCAACTAAATAAAAGAGGCGTCAAAAGCATAAATGATAGCATGTATCATTTCTGCTGAATTGGCCAGATTTCCAGGCTCCGTAATATTTAAATACGTCGTGAAAACAAAATGTCATTACGAAAGTCCAAATGGTGGCTCGCATCACTATAGTGGGCAACAAAAACTTGTTTTGCGGCATTACATCGGGATGTTGCGCGTTTTACCTCCCACGAATCAAACCTTGCAAGAAATCAGAAGGTTGTTGCAAGTTGCGAAGAGTTGTTGCAGAAAGTAGTTCTTCTTTTTGCAAAAAAATCTGTACATGTTTACGCTGCACATTTTACCGGCTCAGTGTAAACTTGTTTTGCAGCAACTGACGTAAATCCCCTGTATGGCGTGACTCAATCAAATTATAAGTCATTATTCAAGCAACTTATCTTTTTAAATATGCATTTAATCTTAAGTGTTTCTTCTCGTTTAATTTGTTTCATTTTTTTCGAAGACATGATTTACATTATCTTTTGTATATTTTTTGTAGATAGAATTCTACGATATCCTTTTTTTAAAGCGAGTGCTTTTGTAAATTTTTAATTAACATAGTCAGTGATCAAAATTAATTAATAATACTATAATTATTTTCAATTTAATGTGCTTAGGGCAGCAACTATTTAGAAATACACTGTAATAAATTGTTAGTAAAGGTAATAGCATGATTTGTGGTGATATTTGGCATAAATACCACAAGTGATATTTCAAAATTGTTATACGTAATTTCACGAGCCGTCAGGCGGGTAAAATATGAGACAGTTTTGAAGTATCACGAGTGGTATTGTAGTTGCCTTAGCTCCTTACATTGCCTCTCTTCGCCCAGGTGAATAACTGATAGGTACTGGCGACATATTGCAGGAATGGGAAGCAAGGGGGTAACACTGCGATGGACTATTTGGACTAACATCCCACTTAGGGGGGAGTATGCTGTATGTTGCAAAAACCTCGTTAATCTCCAGGTGAATGGGTTTTGTCAGGGACGGCGGAGCCCTGGGGGGCTGGAAAAAAAAAAGCTTTAGCCCCCCCTCCCCACTTCACCTTATATAAAACAAAAGGACTTAATACGTAGAGGTTCTTCTCAGCCCCCCTCCTTCAAGTCATTAGCAGCCCCCCCCCCCCCCTCTCTCTCCCGACCGCTTGGGAAACGTTTTCGCCTTCCTTATTCCTTGGCTCGTTTCCAACTTTACCCAGTTCAAATTAAATGTACATTATTTGTTTACTTATGCAGTTACCTTAGTAGCGGGGCTGTACCGCATGTTTCCAGAATACCCTACCTTATTTTACACAGAAGGTTTGCTTTTTCGGATCCCCAGGCTATTTTTGATCGGAAGTTAAGCAATCTTTGATACCCTATCTATTTTAGTCCACACAACGGTGGGCACTATTGTACATGTTCCAAGCTACCCAGGAGCGGCTTTGAGTTGCGTCAACATTACTCTTACAATGGCTTCAATCATACCGATTTCTCAAGGAAGAGACAAAAAGGGGCGTTTTTTAAAATTCCTTCCCAACTTCAGGCGAATATTTCTTTTACTAACCTACTTTAAAACACGATCAATAGATTAAAGTCGCACCTAAGAACAACACAGGCTCAAAACCTACCCTCTTTAAAGGGGCTGTGTCACGGCAGTCCAGTTTATTTTTGTTTAATTTTGCCAATTACTCGACCTCAATCGCTATGGAACTTAAAGTAAGCAAAGAAATTACATGTAAATGACAAAATCAGGGATCCGAGACAAACAAATATGTCTCCTCAGCATAATTTTTGAAGTTGCAAACAGTACGAATCAACTTTGAAAAACTGTTAGGCTGCACAGTTTTCAAAAAACCATAATTTCAATCCCGGTTTCAATCTTCTTCAGTTTCGCCCATTCGTGGCATCTGTTGTTTCTGTTGTGTTATTTAACCTTTCTTTAATGTTTTAAGCGGTTATTTTTATGTTTCTCTTAATTTAACAGGCATTTTGTAATCACCTAATTTGGCTTAATTTCGTGACACAGCTCCTTTAATACCGCACACACTTAATAGGCTTAACATGAATAAGAGAGTGCTTCCCCCACCCCTCCCTCCTCTTAGCCTGTGTCTGGTCTGCATTACAGGCCTCTTAGAAGAATAACGCGCGAGATAAACATGCGAGAGAGGAGGGAACGCGCGCACGAGGAAAAAGCGCCATCCTGCATTAATTTTTTGTAGCCTTTCTGACCCCCTTACTTTTTCTCCTGTTCCTGCTTTCCACAATAGTATTAGACAACTCTCCGACAAATTCCCAATAGGATTTTTTAGACAGCTGAAGTGATCCACAGATCAAGACCAGAAATGTTGCTCCAAGAAAAAACATCTTAAGCTGCAAACAGCGCGTAATGTGACCATTTAGTTTTGTTACTACTTCTTCTTGCTTTGCTTACTTTTCTTAGGCTACGTTTCTTGTCATGCTTGTGTTTCGAACCCATATTTCGGCCAGGATCCACCTTCCTTCGACTTATCAGTAGTACCGTGCAACAAAATCCACCAAAAGCGAGGCTGAACTTCAGGGCGGAAAAACGTAATGAGCATGCGTGAACTTTTTTGCCCAGATCCCCTGGCCGGGTTTGAAAAATGGCGGGATTTCAAATATTTTATTGCCTAAAAATAAGATGTTTCCACTCATAACCTGGAAAGAACAGGCAATTTGTCTTCAAAAGTTGCAAGCTCTGGTTATAACCTTGTCGTTACTTAATTTTCTCGAAGAATACCTCATAGTAAAACGGACTTTAACGACATCAATTTCATTGCGTTGTACTGGAAATGTGCATGCGTAGGTCCGATT